TACAAATGCAAGGCGGAACTTCGAAATGCTAGGAGATTTCTCTAGATTGATCTGTGAACTCCAATGATAGCACAAGGGACGCTCTCGGGTCAGAAACGGCTGAGCATGGACTTAATAACGTCCCTGGGACGACTTCTCACGCCGTTGTAGAGGCCGTAAAGGTTGCTAGGTTGCCCACGCACATTGCCCGCAGGCAGCTTACTGTAGCCAGCTGAGCGCGATGGCACGCACACTGGGATAGCTCGTCTAAATACCCTTATAGAACTTTTTTCGTCACTTTCTCGCCCAACCCCTAATTTTATTACTTTTTTAAGCCTAGTATTTCCCTAAATACCCTTATGTCTCGTTTTTTTCGCAACATCTGCCCGATTCGGGACTACCACTCTCATCTTTCGCCTGAGTCTAGATACCCAAGAATTACTGTGATTTGTGCCTTTGAGCGTGGTTTATTGAAAATTATGGCATGAAAATTCTTTGTGCTCACATCAACCTATTAAACCAGTAACTTACTTCGATATAAGGCGAATCGAGAGAAACTTTGAGCACTTTCGGCAACGTCTCCTTATTCGTGAGTACCACTTTTGCATGGCTGTTAAGAAATTGACGTCTTATTTCATCTGCCAATGAAAAAGTCTATTTGTATGAAATTCTAAATGCCAGCTCTGTAAGATAAGTATTACTACTAAAACCGGAGCAATCATATTTATTCCATAAATTTTGTGAAATTAAACTGACCTTCTGATGATGCTATGTTTATACCAGATAGTGCACCGCCATTCATTGCGACACCAAGAAAAAACGGAGCCCACACCCAATGATTTGGCATAACCATACAGGCTACATCTTTCTAAAAAAGAAAACTGTAAAGTTGATAGGAGAAAGGATAAGCATATGATGAGAATAAAGTGAAATTTCGAAAAATGAGCGCCAGGGGCTATCTGAAGCAACTCACGTGGAAGTTGTTTTTATGAAGAAACGAAGCCACAGCGTATGATAAATCGTGAATCGTCTTGAAGCTAATTTCGGTATTGGTTTCAGCGCACACCTCAACATTTCGAGATAGGTAGTTGTAATGGACTAAGAAGGTACCTGGTCATCGGGTGGGTCAGGACCTACCAATGGGGTCAACAGAATAAGCTCGTTAGATGAAATCCGCGCTCTCAATCGAGACTTCTCTCACAAAGCGTTTAAGCTTGCACATAAAGGTTCCGATAGCGACTACCGCAACATGCGCGTATGAGTCAAGAAGTGCCACGGCGCCACGGCGGTGGCTGCGGTGAGGTTGGGTCACCGGGCACATGCGCGAATCGCCCAATCGTGTTGCGCAGGTGCATAGTGATCCGATTCTCACGCTTGATGACTCTAAAACGCTGCACACATTCGGTGCGAGATCTGGGCCCGACTCCCACGGTCGCGCGCAAGCACGCGGCAAATACTTGGCATGCCAAGACAAATACTTATTACGTGTACAGTAACGGTGATCTCACTTGCTTTTTCCTCTAACAAAAAGTGTTTATTTTTAATTGCCGGGGATTTCGATTATATCACACCACCAACCCACTCTTCCGGAACAAGAGAAAATTGGACGTTACTGGCAGTACCGTAATCCGCACGACTTATTGCTTGGTTGGTGAAGCACTCTATTGCTCTAGGGTGGAGTTAAACCACTGTGGCAGAGAAATTCAGTGGAATAGTACAGGGAAGCTAGTTACAAATGGCAAAACTACATGCAGGACAGCTTTGAGCGTTTTGGCGGCAACAGGGGAAGCATAAACCGTGGAAGCATAGTGTAAAATAAAATAGAAAGAAACAAAATGAAAAAGAAAATGGTGTAGATCATTATGGAAGGAAGGGCTTACAAATGCCGTCTCGTTTTCGCTATCCATATGTTTCCTAAGAGCGTTACGGAGAGTTTCGTGGAAAGGTTCAGTGGCGACCGGAACTGGTGGGTACTCTGACCTGATCAGCATCTGAAAAGCCTCTTTCAGAAATATCCTATTTGGGCCATGAAAAACAAAGAAGTTTCAATATTTGATGACAAAAAAATGATGCAGAATTTATGTAGGGAAA